CCCATTCTTTCCCATCAAGAGGCCAGTGGCCAAGGACGAAGGCTGAGGAGTCTGGCCCCGGACAGGAAGTGAGCACTGTTATTAAAAGAAGGCACGAGTCATACCTGCCCTCCATGATACAGCTTGTATGCTTACTCGTCTTTCTTTTTACCACGCGTGTGTGCTTTTTCACGTGTTGAGAGAGTTACTTCTTAATGCAACACAGACTAACTACCTCAGCCTGCGGCCTTCTTACACTTTCCTGCCGTCTCGGGTCGTCACTACTTTTTCTGTGTTCTCTTTACATACTTCGAAGGCCTTCTAACAAGGCCTGGTTATTTTAGAGTCTAAAACCGGACGTGGCCACCTTTTCTCTGAAAAGGGCAGACAGGAAATGGGTTAGTTCTCATGAGGCCTGTGACCCCGGCCACGGCTCCTAACGCTGCCCTTGTCTGTGCAAATGCAGCCAAAGACAAGTGTGGCTGTGTCCCAGCGATCTTTTATTTATGTGCACTAGCATTTGGATTTTAAGTCATTTACATAGATCATAAAATATCCTTCTTTTGATTTTTTTCTTTAACCCCTAGCTATATAACACTGTGAAAGGCGTCAGTGTTTGCCCAAAACCAAAACTCAGGAGGCAGGGAAGCAGTACAAGTGGAATGGAACAGGAAACCAGGGAGGGAGTGGGGAGAGTGTCGATGTGCAGAGGGAATTGGAACCAGTGTTATGAAGCAAAATGTGTGCAAATTGTTGAATGGAAGACTAATGTGCTCTGGCAACTTTTCACCCAAACCACAAATTGTAAAAGAAACAGGGGGAAAAAATGGTTGTTTTTACATGAAAGGCAATCTTAGTTCACAGGCCGTACAAAACCAGAAGGGCCCAGTTTGGCCAATGGGCTGCAGTATGCTGGCCGGTGAGCTAAACTGTAAGCCTTTGGCTGCATTTGAATCTTTGCATAAGGAGACGTCCAAAGCACACAAAAAACGAACTCACGCCACTGCAGCACTTCCAACTCACCGTGACCCTGCAGGACAGAGTCAAACTGCGCCTGTGGGTTTACACACCGGAACTCTCCATGGAGCAGAAAGCCGCGTCTTCCTCCCACGGAACAGCTGGTAGCTTCCAACCGCTGAGCTTGAGGTTAGCGGCCCACTGAGCCACCAAAGCACCCGAAAGAGGCCTCCAGGCCCCTTTATAACTTAACGTCTCCCCGGTTCTTGCCGTAAAGCCAAAATAGCCACAGCCAGCAAGTCAATTCTGACCCATAGTGACCCTCTAGTGCAGTGGTTCTCAACCTTCCTAATGCTGCCACCCTTTGAGACAGTTCCTCATGTTGTGGTGACCCCCCAACCATCAAGTTATTTTCGTTGCTACTTCCATCACTGTCATTTTGCTACTGGTATGAATCGGGCCACCCCTGTGAAAGGATCGTTCTACCCCACCAAAGGGGTCACAACCCACAGGTTGAGAACTGCTGCTCTACAAGGTTTCTGAGGTTGTGTATCTTTACGGGAGCAGCTGGGGAAATTGAACCGCCAACCTTCTGAACCGCCAGTGCCTAGCCAACAGCGTCAGCAGGGCTTCTAAAGCAGAGGCTTGCCCATTTAAAATAGAGAATGGTTCTCAACAGGCTTAGCAGAGAGACCTGGCACAGTGCGCATGCCCAAGCACTGTTTATGAGCACCATTTGTTGAATGAAGTGTTTCCAGTTATAGGCTCTCAGGTTTGCCATCTTGCACTTCTCTGTTATTTTCTTTCTTTTTAAAAAAAATCATTTTATCAGGGGCTCATACAACTCTTATCACAATCCATACATACATCAATTGTGTAAAGCACATTTGTACATTCATTGCCCTCGTCATTCTTAAA